TTGCTTTATGTTGTTCCCTCATTATAAATGCAGCATGATTCAATTCTTCCTTGTATGTAGAGCAGCAACGTGACATACGAACTGCTTATTTTTGAATGATTTCTGATATATGGAAGCCTGATGATGGCGAGTTATATAAAAAGGTCTTTGAGAGACTACAAAGCATGTACCAAGAGGAAGTTTGCAGGTACTTGCTGAAGACTTGGGAGAAATAAATAGCAAGAAAAAGCTAATGTTCCTACTGACTCTCTGTAGACTGTTCCATGTAATATTTTTCATAGCACTATTTCATATGACTCTCTATAAGGCACAGTTAAAGCTTTCGATGGAATATAGCCCATGTGATAACTTGTGCTAAAGGTGTTAGTATTTTGTATTGCTGCTCCACCTGAACATAGGAAGCAAGTAACAGATAACATGGAAATGGTCTCCACAGTCCCTCCTGCTGCTGCTTCAGTATTTCTGTATGTGAAGAAGAAAGGAAGCAGAATAAGATGCCAAATGATCTTATTTTAATGAATGTTAGCACTCAAAACTCTGGCTCTTGAGCTGAAATACCTGTAGCACTAAAACCATCTCCTCCTTCCTGGTGTTCGTTTTTCTAGTTTACCTGCCTTAAATTTATTAGTTTAGGCAGCTCCATCCTGCAGCAGTGTTCTCTGAGTTCCCATCTATCTTTTCGGCAGCGTTTTATAACAGAGCAATCTTTGTCCTTTTTAATGTAAGATGTTTTGCCAAACCCCACCTTTCCTTTCCTTTCCTGTGCCCTGTCCCTTTTTAAATCATCATTTTCTCCTTTCCATTTTTCCCTTTCAATTCCCATCCCAGGTGGGGGTGGTTCCTGGTGAGGCAGGTCAGGCAGAGGCTGAGGGAGAGGAGGTCTGTGCCGGAGAGAAATTGGAGACTGGAGAGAGCCCTGAGGGAGGGCACCGAGGGGGATGTTCTGCTGCTATCCGCTGGACAATGTGAAGACGTGCTGGAGTTACCCTGTTGCTACTTAACGCCTTCATGTTGGGTTTATAAAACCTGAGGGAGAAGACCTGGAATGAAAAATTTCATTTCTGTTCAAGCTCTCTGTTTATCAGTTTCTAGTGTGGTTTATAACTTTGTGTGCACTGTCTATAAATGTGAAGGCCGCCACTTGTCAAGCCTCGGGAACGTGTGCTTTTCTTCATCCAAATGTCTTGCTACAAAACAATTTCCCTTGCTCCTTTTTGCCTCATTAGCTTGTGTGCTAACCTTTTTATTTTGGACACTGTCAGGAAGATGTTGATAGTTGCAGCGTGTTTCTTTTTCCTGTTATGTGTGTGCAATTGCACTGTCACCGTGTTTTCCCTCCGTGCATCTTCAGTGTTCTTCCCATCCCCACTCTGGTTTTAGGTGCTTTCTCTTTGATGTGATCCTTGTTTCTGACAGTTGGCCCTGGTACGTGCAAGTGTCTCATCTTTTCCTCAGTTACAACATGACCCAGACAGCGTTGCTTTACTAATTGTCTCTGTGCCACTGTGGACCTCTTGTTTTCCTCTCAGATTGACGTGCAGGCTGGTTCTGGCATCATGTTTGCTTTCCCTGTTTGGTGGTTTGTTTTTTTTAGTATCTCTGAGGTGGTAACGTGGCTGCTGAAAGAATGCAGTGTTTAAAATAATGTTTTATGGCTCGTTGAGGGGGGAAGCTCTCAGCTGCTTTTGTCATTTTTTGAAGGAAGTTATTAACATGTATCTTATAGCTTCAGTATTGACTCTCTGCCGTCATTGTTCTCAGTCTTTCAAAGAGCATTCTGGAAAATGAAGTTTTATCATTAAGATTACATGAAAGTGGATTAACGGAGGGAAAAGCAAAATATGAAGAGTCTCAACAGCTCAGAATAGAAAGATGTTGGCGTCTCAGTCACTGGAATGTGGAACAAGGAACATTAATAGGCTGTGATAAACAGAAATGACTTTTTCTCTTTAAGGCTTAAAAGGTTTACTTTAAACTTGCAAAGATTTTAAAAAATGCCAATTCTCCAAGCTTGTGTTGAACGAAGAACTTTGGGCCTATTGTATTTTCTTCTTTTTTAATGCTCATTTTGAGTGAGAAATTACTTTTGAGAAGCTATAGGTGTCATCAGTATGGGAGAAGAGTGCCCGTATTTAAGTTTAACAGTGTTTGCTGCTGGCCATCTCTTTCAAATCCTGTTTTGTGTCAATAAGAAATATAACTTCCTTTGGGGGGATGTTTTTCTTATAGAGGCAGTTTCTGTTGTATTTGGTGCAATTTCTGGAAAATTTGTCAATCTGTCCTAGGAGAGGAAGAAAAGATCTCAATAATTTGCTTTGGCATGGTGTGGAGAGTTGTAAGGAAGTTGAATTTCACACTTCCTACAGCAAGGAAACCTATGGTAACAGTCAGTTCAGAGAGTGTGGGTATTGTCTCTGCTTTCATAGGCATTTAAATTTTATGTACATTAACATCACATTTGAGCTGAGGCTGAAATATAAACAGATGATGGTGTTCTTTCCAAACACCGTGGAATGGCTGAGGAAATTGCCCATTTGTCTCTCTTTGCTTAACTTTTCTCATGTTTTAAAATAGTCATTTTCCAGCCTAGTTCGAGAGGAATGTGGCTAAATGTCTGTGCTCCCCATGAAATGTGAGTCTCAAGTATTTTTCATTATTTCAAGAAGGAAACCTAGCACATACCTCATTTTTCTTTGTGAATGTCAACTCAGTCGTGATCCATCGGTCCACTCAGCATTTGTAGAAATAGGCCACAGTATTGGGAGAGTAGGGTAAAAAAGATTTCTCCATTGTCCTATCAAAGTGTTTGCAATAATCACATGCAGGATTCTGACCGTCTCGTACTATTTAATATTACATTTGCGTTTTTTCTTCTGACTCTAATCAGGACTAAGGTTCTTTGATAGAAAATGATACTTGCAGCAAGGTTTCTGTAGTGCCATTTAATTTGTTCTAACACAACTGGTTGTGTTTTCGTACTTAGATTTGCCCTGTGCATAAAAAAAGAATATTGTTGAACAAACTCTAATGAATCTTAAGACAGAGGCTGAGGTTGCCTGGTCCCACTCATCCCTTCTGCCTGTATTGGAGCCTGACCTCTCGCTGACTTGGTAGCCTGGCACGTACGCACGGGCGTAAAGTCTGTCTTAGCACTAGCTTAGTAAAGTCTGTCTTAGTACAATCCCCTTGGAAAGGGGGCTAAGTGCTTTAAGCCTAGGATTTTGAGACGCTCGATTTGACGAGTCTTCCTGTTGCGTTTTCACATGTCGCCCGAGTTGTGTGTGTCTGCTGGAAATTGCAGGCAGCCTGAGTTGCCCCTGAAGGGGTTGTGGGAATGAGCTGTGGGATGCTGAGTTGTGGGATGCTGAGCAGCTGAGACGTGAGCACATTTTGAGTTTGCTCGTGTTTCTGTGAGGTGTCTACAAGACTGAATTTGAGATGTTTCCTGAGGTTGGGGCGGGGAAGGAAGCATCCAGCGCCAGGCTGGCGCTGCTTCATGTTTCATCACTTATTGATGCTGCTCTTGGGCACAGCTTTCCTTTCTAACCCATTAATTAGAACCAAGGTAATGAAATTATCCATTTTCAAATGCAGATTCAAAGCCCTCTTGATGAACTTTCCCACCTGAATACAACAACGAAGAGAGTATTTCACAGTCCCTGATTATTAAATTGGTCTGTGAATAGTTCCAAACTGAACTGGAGCTTTAAACAGGCTTCTAATTCATCCAGTGTTTTAAAATGCATATTTTTCTTCAAGGAGGAGGATTTTGAAGCGAGGAGACAGCTGCTTGGGGATTTTGGTGAATCCCTACACAAATTTCCCAAGAAGTACACTTTGGTGACCTGGCAGTGCAGGATGTACTTGATTTACAGGCGGTGCCTTTTAAGGCAGGGTTCCCTTTCAGATCTATATAAACACTACCTTAGCAATAGTGCTCTTTTATTTAAAAGCATTTTTATTTACTTTAATTGTAATGATAAAGAATACCCGTCTGAAGCACTCATAAATTTTCCAGTGTTGTTTTTAGCATCACAGATCTTCTATTCCTGAGTAAGCTGGAGGTGTTGGTTTTGATCTTTCTGGCTTGTTTGAGGGGTTTTGACTTTTGTGCGATCCTTGTTTGCATGTCCTCCTCCCTCTTCGAATACTTGACGTTCGTGCAGTCTTGGATAAACTTGTCATACTTAAATTATGAAGCAACTCTTAGCAGTCACGCGAATTACTTCACTCGTATTTTGTTACTGATCAAGTACTTTGCCAGCATACGTGATCTGTGATGAGCTGCTTCGTGTGTGCCTTGGAACAGCTGCCCATTAGTGTCCCAGCAGCAGACTGAGTGTCGGAAGGGTGTGCATGAAGAACACCTCCAGGAGTACATGGATAATTGTGCGTCACCACGTCATGCGGCACAGGAGAGCCGAGAAGAGGGACCAAGCTATTCCGGCTTAATTGAGGATCTTGTCCACATTGCAAAAGAAGTGCTAATCACCTGCCTCAGAAGACATTTCTCTTCCAGTATCGTTGCTGGCAAGAGCAATGTGCAGGTGGTGGCTATAATTACTTGCTGAGTATTATCTGTCTGTCAAAGCAGACCATATTAAACCTCAGTTTTACTTCAACTTTGTCAGAAAAAGATACAGTAGAACCCAAGGTAGTGTGTTGTTTGTTGTAAATGAGGCATCTTCTCAAAGACAAACTGGTTGATTTTGAAACACATATGCAATTGTTTAAATGTTTGGTATATGTGAGGCTCCAGTAATTGTTGCGTGCTGAGCAAGAGGGCTGTCGCTGGGATGGTTCTTCTCTCATATCTTTTCCTGAGAACAGCTGATAAGGAGACCGCAGTTCCGCAGTTTCCAGTGGTGCAGCCGTACGATGGAATGGTACCAGCCTCATTGTCCTGGTATCGGGGTGATGCATATCATCTCGCGTTTTACGGATCTGTCTGACTAAGAGGCAGTGGTCAGGATTTCACAGGTCTCTGTTATCTCTCTTAGTGCTCGAATACTAGAGAAGGCCCGGCAGCAGCTACAGGAAGAAATGCTGCGGATTCAGAGCCAGCTCTTGGATGAGAAGAAGAAGCGTGAGCAGCATGAAGCCCTGGTCAGACGGCTGCAGAAACGTGTGCTGCTCCTCACCAAGGTGAGTTTCTAGATAATGTCTGGCGAAGCTCATGTTCTTATTCCATTTCTCCGGGTGCAGTCCCTGTTATTTCTTCTTTGCTCACCTCTGTAACTTGTACTACAAAGTTGTTGCAGGTTTTTTTACATAGTGGGTGCTATAAGGGACGTGAACCTTATCTTCAAGAGTGTATTAGAATAAAAGCATTAATATGTCCTAAGGCTTTGCTAGTGCTCCCTCCAGCTGGGCTCATGGTGTGTTGGCGATACGTGACTTTGTCTCAGGCTTGGCGTTTGTGCGAGGGCAGAGAATTGAATCATGTTGTCGCAAGAGCATTTTGAGCCACTGGAGGGAATTTATAATGGCTTTGACTGCATTGCCTCCTTTCCTAAAGAGAGCGAAACGACGGCACCTTGTCAACTGTTCCTGTGGAAAAACAATTTACAGAGAGTAAGAGATTCGCCTTCCTCATACGCTGAAAGTCTGTTTGAATGTAATGGCAGGCAGTAGACCAGTAAATTGAAAATATGTTTTAAGATTCTTTCTATAGGATATATCAAAGAAGTTTGCATTATCCTGTATCAGGTATGCTCTCATGATGAAATTCTATACAATAATTTTGAAGTCTGTAGAGCATTGAAAACTTTATATTAAATTCTGAGAGCGCTCTTTTCCCAAAGGGAATAATAATTCTCTATCGTTAGAATGATAGTTACCTCGCTTCCCAAGAAGACTCCTTACAAAGAATACTTCTTACAGAACTTTGCTCATCTGAGCGGTACACGTGATAGTATAAAGCTGCTCATGTAAGAAAACTGATGTGTGTGCATAAGGTCAGACATGTAGTTAGAGTGAGAGAGAGGGAGCCAGGCACATCGCTACGTATGGGGAGGAAAGCTGCTGATAGGGGATTGTCTGAGCACGAGAGAGAAGAGCTGTTGTGTTGTTTGTGCTTTAGACTTTAATTTTCAGTGTCAACTAACGCATTTTGATTAATTTTAATTGTGCTATGCCCAATTCTGTGTAATTCCTCATTGTTGTTGAGACAAAAAAGCTGGGCGGTATGATGTCGTAAGCAGGGCTTCTTGAGGCATGAAGCAACCGCTTTACAAGAGGGTATTCTGTCAGGTCTTTTTGGCTGCAGACTCTCCACGGAGAGTCACATGTGTGAGAAAAGAAAAAGTGACAGCAGTTCTTTGTGCTTCACACTGAGGTAGGCACAGCAGTCAGGGTGGATGGTCCAAACTCTCTCCATGGAAACAGAGAAGACGTCTCTTCTCGGTCTTTCTCATACCCCCAGCAGCAGTCAGCCCTCCACAGCATTCTAGTGTGGTACTGGAGTGGCTGGATGTGACACAGGTGGATACTGAACACGATAAAAATCCTTCCTTTACAACCTTCTCGGCGGTCTGGCATTGCGCTGGGCTGCTCAGCCTGAAGGCAGTTCCTCAGATGGTTTCTAAAATATTCCCTTTGATAACTTATTTCCAGTCCTCAGCAAAAACATGTTTTGTCATAGAACTTGAAGTATCATTACTTTTCTTTAAGTACTGGACAAAAAGACAATAGTACTTTGTCATGTACTGGATTGTACCCTAATTTATACGGAAAGACAGAGCCTTTGCTTTGTTTGCTATCCTCCCCCTGAAGAGGAATACAGGAAAAGATGGAAAGGCCCTTCATCAGACCCTGTCAATATAAACTTCTGTTTCAAAAGTGGAAGTTTTCAGTGTGCTCAAAGATTCCTCAACTGACCCATTTTAAAAGAATAAAGACTTTGCTGTTCTCTGCAAATTTATATTCCATCCAGAGAATGCTAGGGGTCCTTTGTGAAGAAGGTGCATTATAGTACTCAGGCACTTTTCTCCTGCTGGTCGCTCTTCTCATGCTAAATCAAAGGAAGAAATATCATTTAAATAAGAAAGTATGATATTGTGATTTAAAATGAGACTGAGCAAATATGTTGCCTGTTAAAAATAATTATTTTACATTGAAAGCATATCACCTAGAATGGTATTAATCATCTAATTAGTGGCATCAGTAGTAAAGTCTGCTTCTATGTAATTTGAGAATGGAAGGGATGAGTTCTCTCTGTTGAATCTTTGTCTTGTTAAATAGGACTGTGAAAATCTAATTTGGGGGAGACTATTATATATATGATTAAATTGCTATTGCTTTTGATAGTGTGATTTTTGTATTTTTGTATATTTGACCCTCTAGCAGGGCAGTGAATCTGTTCCTGTGTGCTGAGCAAATTAGGACTGAAAGGCATCAGACGTGTTTAACAGAGCAAGTTTAATGCAGTAACAGCTATCGCTTCTTCGGGTTCAGATTGTAACCTGGAAGTCTCCAGGCTTGAGTATTGTTTAAAAGATCAATAGAAAACGATAAGGCATTCTTTATTTGGTAAGAGCAGTACCTAATATTTTAGTAGTAAACGTACTCTCTTCAGGAGGTACTTGTTTTGCCAGTCTGACTCCTTCTCGACTTGCTTTTATTGAATTTCTTTCCTCAGGATTCAAGCAATACTTTTGGGCTTTAACAGATTGCCTGTCTCACTTCTTCAGTCCTGTTCATTTTCTACTTGCCACAGTCTCTGTCTTTCTTGGTTGCTCTCATATTTCCATTTTGGTACATTTAACTTCTCCCTCCATTGCTTGCTTCCTCACCTCATTTGCTTCTTTTGGGTTTTCTTGGCCTTTCCAGTTGGTTTACTGTTTGGAATTGACACAGTTGTCAGTCTGGGATAGTTCTCTACAAATCTCTCTTCCCAGGCAGCCCCGAAGACCAGCGTTCTCCAGTCTTTGACATACTAGTGCCATGGTGTAGCCCAACGGATCCCACCTCTGACAGTGGGCTGGCCCAGGAACTGCCTCCTCATTCCTCCTGCTGACAAACCCCTGTTTAGAACATGGCAATTGATTACTTTCTCCCAAGCGTCCTTGTAAATCCGAGCAGTAGCTCAGTTTTCTGATCTACGTGTTGTCGGTGAAAGACAAGACTGGATTTGGACACCTAGGGGTTTTCAGGTATTGATGGCTTGAGGATATCTCCCAGAGTGTCACCCTCTTCACTGAAGGGGTTGAAAAAGAAATTGATGTTTGAAAGGATGTATTCACTTGCTCTTGTAGAAATCCACTTGGCTGGGCTCGCTGTCTGTTGTGCCTTTTGCTTTGGCTTTGCTCAGAGTTTTAGGGAAACCTTTAATCTTTGCTTTATTACCTGAGGTAGTTCTGATACAGCAGTAGTAGGAGATGTCTTAAATGCTGAGAAAAGACCTAGTTCACCTCTGCCCTTTATCCTGTTTGAATCACTGTTGTATTGGCTTTGAATGCCATGTTTACCTACATAGTTTTGTATTTGACTTTTGTGTTGTCCTTAAGCTTGTGAGTATTTCTCTTTTTCTGAGAGCTGTGCACACAACTCCTGGTCTTTGTTGATGAAGTAGACGTATTAAAACCAGCCAGTTCTGCTGCAGAGTGGCTGAAATTTGAATATCTTAGGAAATTTCCTATGACATGTAGGACTCTCAAAATGAAAAATTCTTTCTGAAAATCCTTTTCTGAGTGCAAGCAGCTGACTGAGTCGGTATTTAATGGAAAGAAAGCTCTGGTGTATTTGTTTCAGGAGGCATAAATGTACCTTGTGCAGGAGAAGTGAGTTTCAAGAAAAGCAGTAAAGGCACGCTGAAGAGCTCCCAAAGCCTTCTGACGAGATGAGCCAGAAGTTGGCTTGCATGGATCTTTTTGAGGTTGTTGCCTTCTCCTCTGCTCGTGTGATGTTACTCGGTTGCAGGCAGCCCTTAGCTACGTTCATTGTTTAGCTGCTGTAGGGTTCAGACCTGCCAGCCTCTCCTGCACGCATGGAGTTCAGCGACTCCTTAGTACAGTTATTTCTTCCATGCACGGAGCTGGTGAACAACCACACGAAGCTGAAGAGTTAGTAGGAGCAGCCTCTGGCACACGCAGTGGATTTGAGCGGAGCCCAGACGCCCTGCTTGCGCGCAACTGGTGCGTGATCCTTCACAGGAAGCTCCTGCCTGTTTGCATACACAAGAGCTCAGAATGTGAAGTGCATTTTCATTCACTTCCTGTAACTTATCCCAAATGAGTCCAATTTGCTTCTCAAATTGTAGCCTTTGTGGATGCACACTGTCCTAATTGCCTCCCTTGGTCTTGTAGAAGGCGTAACGCAGCAAATGAATTGATCTGATTGTAGTGGATGTTGTTGTTTTGCCGTGTTTATTTCCCGGCTGTGCATTTGTCTGCCTTTGGGTACTCCGCTGCCTGGAGAAGAGGCTGAAAAATTCCATTTGGTTTTCTGAGCGTTCAACCAGGTCATGTGATCTGATAGGAAATCTGTTTCTATTGAGATATAATTTAGGCCATCACCATAAAGAGTTGGAGATTAAACAAGTATTGATTTACCAACTCCAGCTGACTGTTCATGCCACATGTTCCTAGAGATATCTTCGCAAGAGTCAGTGCGGAGTGTGTAAGTGACTCCCAGAGCCGAGAATGGCAGAGATGCATCAGAGAGGGGACTAGGTAATTAAACTGTTCATTAAGCATGGCAGATGCAGAGTTCATGACTTGATTTGCCATCTGCTTTGTTTTGTAATCAGTAAAGATTTGAAGTGACGATTTTACTCTCATATTGGGTCCTGCGTTATGTTTTTTCTGAGGAGATAGATGACTCTAAAGCACAAGGAAGGGTCTTAAAGTTCTGGGCGTTCAGTGAAGAAGGTGAATTAACCCTCTTCTGAGGATATAGTAAAAATCAGCTTTAAATATTGTACTTGGGAGCAGTAAAAGCAGCCAGTCTGGCAGACAGATGCCTTGCGACGGATCTTTCGAGTATTACACCCTGTGCTCTTAGTCCAAGTAGCACAGTCGGCTTTGGGGCAAAACGGAGCCTGATAGCCTGTGCTGAGTAGCACCAAACACTTTTTTCCCCTGGCTGTCATGATCTGATGCGTCCTCCTCCCTTCAGTCCACTTCCGGACTCCATGTATATCATTT